GAAAGCATGTATTCTCGTTGCGTGTCCATTCCAAGTGTGAGCAGTCCCTAAAGGACACCGAAAACGGCATTCCTGAAGGGAAATGATAACTAGCAAAGCCACAGTTCTGAAGAACTTTCCGGAACTGCGAAATCAGAGAGCAGTCATTCCACACACGTATTTTCACGAATGCGTAAAGTCATTGGCCTATGAGAACTCGATGAGAGACTCTGTTGGCATATTTTTCGCTTTAGGCTGCCATAGCCAGTGTAGATTTTGCTCGTGACTCTTCGATTCACATTTGTCACGATAACTGCTGATCAGCATGCACCACCACTCCTCCCCAGTTCGCCCCGTCAAACTGTGAGGTTCTTATTGCAACATCTGCAGAAGCGGCGTTGCACCGTTTCGCGTCTGTCTCAGTAATATAGTACGTAGGCAGCCAGTGGTTTTCACTACAAATTCTTCCCAAAAGGCCTGCAGATGCAATGCTATATGAAGGCATTCTTGGAGCCACTATACATATATTTGCATACACGAATTGTAAGAGGTTATTGCAGCAGGCTACGAAATTGCATAAAATGGGACTAATCCTAATCTAAAACATATAAAGTTGTGATGCGGTGAGAAAGATGAAGCCACTGGGTAAACAGTTGGTGGTAAAGTTGCGTGGGATAACAGCCGCTTATCGGAGCTTATAATGTTAACTTTGCTAATTATTCTGAGAATACTGTGCAATAAACACTGGAAAGAAACACGTCTACTCATGGGATGAAACCAATCTTATGAAAGGAATTTTAGTTACACGCCTTAGACAAATGTAAGAAAATTCGTGGCTGCTGACTGATGGTCGCCATTTCTATCGGCAGCAGAGGAGGATAAAGTATCTACACTCAGTTCATTGGGGAGGGCAAACGATTTGACCTAGCAATGTTTTGGGAGATAAGTTGTTTAATTGAGACGACGTTATGCTGTAAGGACTGTTTACTGGCAGACCAATCACAGAAATTGATAGTTAATTGTCAGGATGTCTTTTCAACCTATCAATTTTTACGGGATCTGATATTGATGGCTGGTTGTTTCCAAAGATCACTATATTTGATGGTGAAGAAGCTCACCTTAGCGTTTTGTTTGTGCATGACAGCTTCGAGAAGTTAGTGGTGGCTTTGTGAGCGATATGGTTTAAGTTTAACCCATACTATCGGTGGGCTTCAATGACAGAACTTTCCGATAACCATGAAGTAAAGAAAGGAGTTCCATTTCATTCTTCCTATCTGTACAAGTTCCGATTTCAGCCGAATACTTATGTTTAGGCGACCGAAACATGTCACGCGCTTATTAAAATTCTTCGGATAGTCCATTGTCTTCTGGTTAGTTGGCATTAGGTTATCATGTGCGAGGGAGCAGGGTTTCTTCTGAAGCAAGTACGTGCATTATACTTTGATAATCTGATATTTGAGGTATGGAATGGATTCAGGTGGAATACAGTGGTTCTTTTGCAGTTGAGTACCACATTATTTATGTGGGCAGAAAATGGGTCCAGATATCTTATCTCAATAAGTGTGACCATGTCCAGATATTGGGAGAGGCTGCCTTATACATACTGTTTTGCGACCGTATAAAAGAAGCTGTGGAGGTAAACAACCTCGAAAATTATTGCCACAAAGCATCCTTCAGTCAGCACGGTATGGTGACCATAATCGTTCGCGCCGAATTCTTAGTCTGGAAGTTCGCTGTCAAGCATTCACGCCGTCTTCTTTGCGTCGTGTTCCATTCTGCTGTTTGTGCATGATCCCTGGCTAGGTAGGCAATAGTCATCGCAATACGACTGAGATTACGAAGTATGCTTCATCTTTTGGAGGATGAGTTTGGTGTTCAAATTTGCTACTGATCTAAGCATAACAAGTAATATATATATATATATATATATGTATATAATATACAGCAAAACACATTAAAATCTTCTCACACCTGTCTACGATAGCACAACAAAGAAGCTACACATCTGACAACCTACTCAATCTAAGATGCATGTTAAAAGATACTAACTGGGATCTATTCTATGAAAGTACATTAGATGACTCAATCACCAATATAATGGATTATCTCAAGTTCTGCCTCGACATATGCTGTCCCAAACAAACACTGTTCAAACGCCTCGACCGCTTCTCGTCTCCCCATCTCAAACAACTTCGCAGGCAAAAAGAAATGTTATATAAATGCAAAGACAAGTTAGGACTTAAAAAGATTAATGCTCAAATCAAATCTGAAATCAAAAATCTTAATGCTATCTATAACCAAACACTTTTATCATGCAAATCTCCTATCAGCATGTGGAAATTTTCAATGAAATTACTGGCAATAGTAAGCGATGTAATGTTTTTCCCTCTTGTGATGTTAATGCTCTTAATCTGTCTTTTATACGCTCTCCTTCTACTATAACCACTTCTAACGTTACTAATCTTGTAGCTGATAACTTCCAGGACTTCAATACTCTCGATGTTTTGAAATGTCTTAAAACTCTTAAGCCCTCACATAGTCTTGGCCCTGATGGCATACCTGCATATGTTCTAAAACAATGTGCAGATGCTTTATGTCTCCTCTAACTAATATCCTAAATGCTTCTTTCTCCGAAAACGTTGTACCTGTTCCATGGAAAGACATTAAAATAGTCCCTGTCCCTAAACCTGGCAATAGCAAGAACGTAAAGTTCAGACCCATTGCCATCACTTCCCCGTTTCTAAAGCTCATGGAAAAACTAGTACTTCTTAAACTCGAACCCTCCCTTAAAAGCTTCGAAGACCCCAAACAATTTGCCTACAGACAGGGTAGGAGTACTTTAGACGCTGCAGCCGTCTTACACAACAGTATTGTCTCATCATTAGACAAAGGTGCCAAATATGTCCGCTGCACGTTTCTTGACTTTACTTCTGCTTTCGACTCTGTACCTAGATGTCTCTTGCTAAATAAGCTCTCCATGACACAAACCGAGTCCTGGGTCACTAACTGGTTGCATTCCTACTTTTCAAACAGAATGCAGTACACCGTATACAAAGGCCAATCCTCCTCTGCTGTGCTCACTGAAGCTGGTGTCCCCCAAGGTGCTGTACTCTCCCCACTTCTCTTTTCATTCTTCCTACATGACCTACCATCTTCAAATGACATTAACTTTGTCAAATATGCTGATGACCTAACTGTATCTTTACCTGTCAAATGTCAAAGTGACTGCTCTAAACTAAATGGCTTCTTATCAGAAATCAGCCAATGGTCCAAGGAAAACGGTCTCACCTTAAACCCCTCCAAATGCCAAACAGTTAATTTCACCTTTAGGCATAAATCTGACCTAAACAAACTGGTTAGCACTCACGAGGTGTGCAACATAGATGGCACTGAAATTGAAACCAAGTCGGAAATTAAATACCTAGGCGTCACTCTATCTTCTGATCTTTCCTGGTCGTCTCATATCTTGACGATTTCCAAGAAAATATACCGTCTTACCTTCTACATCAAGAAGTTAAGACATTCTGGTGTAACCCAACCCTTACTCCTACAATTTGTTAACTCCCGTATTCTCTATTGTTCCCCCTTAGTCTTTCCTGGGCTATTGAAGAAAGACTATACCTTATTACGTAGGATGTTAAAGGTTGTCAGCAGGGTAAGCAGTTTGCCACTTAGCCAGCTTGTTAATATTCTGGTGGACAGGCACATGGACTCATGTGAAAAATGGGCGAAATCCATTTTATCTGACTCACAACACCCTCTACATTCACAACTCTCCCCATGTATCTCTTCAGGGAAAACAGAAGCCTATATAGGAAACTATATGCCCGCACTAGTAAGTACAAAAACTCATCCATACCCTACCTAGCTCGTGTTCTGTGCGATAAAGAAAGCATTAGGCATGAAACCTTTAACTTATTAAATAGTCAGTAGAACAATGGATCTCGTCTTTCCAACTCACATCATTTATAGGTACAACGTTTTCTCTCTCTTTTTTTCATTCTGTATTTATTTTTGTTATGTGCTGTTTTGTTTCTCTCTTCCTTGCAAACTCTACTTAAAACATTCTTGTTCGTTCTTTCACACTCTGTATACCTCGACCATTTTGCTATCGCTTACGCCAGTAAATATGCTAGTAGTATCTACTTTTCTAACACCTTCAAACACTCTGTTTAAATTTTGGCTTTGCTACCGACATGCTAATATGTTGTTGTCAAAACTGACTGAGATAACCTTAATCTATGTAGAACTATATTTATTGTTAATGTAAACTGGATGCAATATTGTAGTAAAATGCTGAGAATTCCATTCTGTATCACAAGTACTGATTTGGAATAAAGCTTACCTTATCTTATCCTATCTTAATGTAGGAGTCAGAAAATGAGAACGAGCGTTCGTATAGGCAGTGCTTTGAGTAGACGTCAACATTCTTCTCTCTCGTCACGCCCCGCCACAGATTCTATGTTTTTTATGCATAACGAAATAGGATATTACCAAGAAAGCTAATGTGGCTGCTGGATCACGTATTAGATGTTAACAGTGGCGTCATTTACTTCATTTTCCAGCATTAATACATAGTTTGATTCCGGAGAGATTGTGTGTTTGTAGCATCTCTGAGTTTGTGTAATCATAGTCTCGACTTTACGTTGACTTCATTGGTATTCGCCCGCACGGGTAACTACTAAATGTTTCACGGGCTGTTTGGTCATTAAATACAGCGGGTTGTCTAGGCGACTTTGTAGCTAGAATCCCTAGTCACTAGTAGCACGTGCATTCGGCGATTCTTGCTATTCAGAATGTGGGGCTATGCAGACACTTACTTCTGGAAGGAAGTAGAATCTTCAGAAAGACTAGATTTCAGTCAGTGGCCCTCGGAGGTTTGCTGGTGGCCGCTTTACGCAATGTACTGTAGAAAAATCGGGTTTATTATGATGTCTTCGCTAGCTGTTAGACTGGTGTTAGATTTTCTCTGCGAATTCTTTCGATACACCTAGTCTTCGAATATATTATGTAACGACGTGATGAATAATGCAATGAAACTGACTTCTCTGATGAGACTATCAGTACCAGCATCTTGTTCAATTAAGGGGCAAAGTTTGTGGCAGGGGTACGACTCTGATGCAATCCTAATATTTGTGTGAGGCGTTATCAAACCACTTGTTTCGCCAGATGTCAGAAATAACCTGATGCCATTGAAACGTTTAAAATTGCTGCAAAATGGAAGGGTATAATTTCCTGATATCTTGAGGAGGTGTATGTTTTGGGCTGCCTAGGTGACTACAAGCTCACTTGCGACTGGCTGCAACTGGAAATCACAATCACGACTAACGTAGGGCCGTCCGTCCCCTCATACCTGATCTTTGGCTACACCACCTGCTGACTCTTCGGCTTGGCTAACCTAACCTGTGGGCCCAACGCACAGAAGCACCCTTGTTCTATAGAAAATCACTCACTCGCAGTGTGACCAAGTCAGCGGCCGTGAACAAACTCCCCTTCGGAAGCTAAATGGCAAACATTCAATTGAATGGATGAAATTCATTGATCCCCTGCAAAATGACTTGACAGCCTTCCCAGGAATTATTATAAGTCTTCATAAACAAAGATTCCAGACCCCTAATTGGCAGCAGTTTAAGCAAGACGTTGGCCAAAACATTAATAGGAGGCATGATCTTTTCAACCCTCTGTGTGGACAGAAATTTGAGCAAGTGTCCAGACTTGTGAAACAATCTAGGCGAGGATATTGGTGGGGATAGCACAACTGTATGATATTCGAAATGACACTAATTGTTTCTTGAGTCAAAAGTGTACTATTTTTGCTGCAAGCCATACCACATACACATACAGGCACTCTCGTCAGGTGCTGTTGTCAGTAGCCGGAAATTCGACTGCTGTATGGATTCAGCAACATGACTGACGAATTTGGGGAGCTGCCGAGTGTTCAACTCTCAGTTTCATGACCGTGCACGAAGGTTCAGTAGGCGTATAAATTGCAACACTACAGTCGCAGAAAAAAAGATTGAGTCGTTATAAGTATCGTTCTATTACCTAGGAAACTAGAACAACAATAAACTAAGGATGGTTAGAAAATATGAATTATATCTTTCATTTACTTTCAAAGACGAAGCGAAAGTACCTTGGTCTCATTTCTATTAAAGCGGATCTTGGGCAGTGTTACTGAGTATAACGACTAAGTGTAATAAATCAATTTGATAAAGTATTGACAATGTATCATTTATTGACATTGTTTGCGTTATAACCGTTAATAAGAAAACACAATGGATTATCAGTTTCACAGTCAATTAAAGGCGCATATAATTGAAAATCTTCAACAATTTGAGTGGAAGAAAAGACATAAAAACGGCCACTGAGACAGTTCTGGCAACCATTTGTCGCGCCACAGTAATCAAAAAGACACCAACCTATACGTGCTTGAGATAATTATGACATACTCTCATTTTTGTACACGAGGGACGCCAGTTTACAGGCATCATCAATTCGATAAATTACACATACGATTAGTGAGCATAGTTAGTAACGATAATATAATAAGGTACATATTGATTCCTACCTATGAATATACGACAGATCTGGCTGTGAGCTGGTGGACAAGTAAAGCGCGGAAGTCCGGTTCAGAATACTGATGGGCATTCGTCACACATTTCCGTTCAACAGGAAAGAAAACTCTCAGGTGATACAAAGCATATGGTGCTTGCTCATTCACCGCTTTTGAATTCCTTTATCACTCAACACTTGCTGAGTGAGTCTAGAGATTATAACACCTCTTATGTGGTGTGGAAAACATGTACCGTCAATGGGCTGAAACTCAGACCACTTGATGGAAGATTATGGAATTCAGGTCTGCGTACCCTCAGCCACTAGATAAGATGGATGGCGTATTCATTTCATACAAACTAATGCACAACCCATATAACCAGGACCAGAAGTTCACTGCTGTATCTCTGAAGCTAACCTGGACACCACTGCTCATCAGATAGCGATCCAAAAATTCCGTCCCATTACCCTTCGCTTCAGGGCCTGTCAACACTAGATAACATGGACACCACTCTATATGGCGACAACCCAAAATGAAGGCTAGATTATTATGCGGAAATGATTGTCTCCACAGATTCACCAGGTAGCTAGATTAGTTTCAAGTTGTTCTATGGGTGCCTCATATATCCCACCTATTTCTGCACTCTCAGCTGTTCCATCTTAATTGAATTTCTTCTGTCCCTATCAGTCTGCTTATCCGTTCCGCTTGTCTATGTAGTACATCCATGTGATTTCGCAGCGTTACCTGTCCAACACACTCCTCTCACCCTACATTCCATTTGTTTCATCTACCTATTCCCTCGATGGCCTGTACACTTACTTGGCGTCGCTTTCTTTATAATCTTCGTCATTCTAGCAAATTTTTTGCATGGAGAAACGAAATTTACAAGTTCCGGACGCGCCTCTGCCATCACAAAAATCTCATGTCCCTCCGAATCAATCTAATGTGCCTCGCCTTATTACACTAGGCAAAGTCATGACAATTGAGGGAGTTTATTTTACCACAATATATCTAGAAACACCCATAAGTAGCAACAGGTGAGCTGAGGGAAATCATAGTATCAATACGAATTCGTCAAGGAGATATTGGATATAGAACCGAGTGTTTGAAGCTGCACAAGTGACCTTCAGTCAGTCGAAGCACGTGGTTGGTTGTTTCTCCAATGCGTTGTTGTTACTGTGTGTGTTAATAACAGTACCGCATAAGAGGTGTAGGTTCTTATTTCATCTACAAGGTGAGTGGGAAACCGTATGCATTTTTCGCATCCGTCTAAGGTTTCTTATGTCGTCTTCTCTCCCTGAATTTAAATGGAGTGTCTCAGTTTCAATACTGAGTTAGCATTAACTCCCTGAATCATTAATGCTAATTGCAATGCCTTACTATTCACTAGATTAGGTGTATAGCTATAATGGTTTAAGTTAAACTATGATACTTTCACTTCTCCAAATTAGTAATTACGGAACATAGATACTGATTTAAAAACAGCCTGTGCGAGCTAAGAGTAACAAGTGTTACTCTCAAAGGTAGGAGTAAGTGTGAAATAATCACTAAACTGTTATATATCCGAGGTTAGAGGTGGTCGGATCAGAACCTGGCAATAATGTGTGAAGTCCTTGGCTGTTGGTTTGAGCTACGTAAGGAGGTATAGATTACTAGGTAGAAGTCCTCGAGATACTGATAAGCAGTGTCTGAAGACTGGATATGGTTCAAAATAGGCTTAAATGACGCATGCACTCAATTTTTGTGGTCTCCCAGACCCATTAAGTCCTCATGTTTCTCCGTGTACTAATTCTGTCGGCCATGCATTTGCTGTCGTCACAGTTCCTTTGTATCTTATTCTCGACATTTTTGTGTACTTCATGAATTGCTTAACTTGAACTTCTGTACAGAGTTTGAAGTCAGTAGCACTAAAAGTCACAACTTTAAGGAATACTTATTGACTAGTTGTAATGTGTATTTCGCTCTTCTTAGTTTTTTGCACTAGTTAGATTCTTGAAATGAACCACTCAAAAATTTGGTTTGCTTAACAGATGTGGCGTGAAACAATTTGAGGCACAGGTGGTGGCCTTAGAGTAAGCCAGTAATGCTGGATTAATTTTCAATCTTGAATATACCTTTACTTCGCTTCCTAATACCCTGCGTGACCAATTCTTCCTATCATTTTCTGACAACAATTGCGACTGAAACCATTTCTGAGCTTTTGTTTGAAGACTGAGAATGTTCCTATTTTAATAAAGGAAGAAGGGAACTCGGTTTGGTAGTACTATTGGTAAAACTGACGTGTAGCCTCCAAGAGAAGTATTTTATCGCGTTTGTGTCATTGTGAGTTATTACGAAAGCATGGCTAGTGAAATAACGTTGGTAGCTATCATTGACTTCAGTACTTGGACGCGATTCTCAATGAACACGAACCGACTGCTTTCAAAATTCTTTTTATTAAGTTTTGATCAAATTCATTAGGTCATTTGACAATTTTAATTGTGATATATTAATTTCAGTCATATAGTACGGAACACGCTTCAGCAGTATGATGCGTTTGTTATCCAATGGGAGTTTTCGCATTGCGAAAATCATGTTCAGGAAAGGTGGGCATTTGTTTGTTTTGCTGTTCTGCATTCTTGGGCGTTTGTCTGAGATAGGAATACTGTAGCATTTATCAGTTTTGTTTTGCTTGTTGATAGATAATGAGTGGTGTCATGTCGTAACATGAAGAGAATGAGTCTAGTTTTTGGAATGGATTTTACTCATTACTACTAGTTGTTTACATAACAGTTTTTTATGTTGATAACTCTTGGAGTTAATGGTTTACTTTTTTACATGTAGCAATCTTATAAGAAACTTCAGCAAAGGTATCTTTTTGGCATTTTCATTCAATATGGCTATGCAATCTGAGTGATAGCGAATGAAAGCAGTGGACTTCTTGTGTCCTCTAACATCTGAATGAATATTTTGTGTTAACTAAAACACAGTCGGTATGGAAGCTATATAGGAATGTATTTTGAACTGAGGTTTACTGAAACTTTGAATTGTATGTTGGTAGACAACTGTGCTTGTGGAGCTGAGGTATATTGGTGGTTCCATGTGTATCCTGTCTAGAAAAGGTGTAATAACACTATCCGTCATAGTTTCAGAAAAAAAGGTAGTGACTCTATAAGGAGTGTGATAATTCAACACCTTATCAACACTGGTCATTCCATCTCAACAAACGCTTTCTTCAAAGTAATCTACAAGTTGAAGAAGCAACTACCAACCGCCTGGCAAAACGCTTTCGTCTTATTTGCATATCTGAATGACTACCATTCATATAGAGAGACTGTGGCTCAGCATACGTGAGTAAAATCATTCAAGCACCTTTACTGATTATTTAAATTATTCATCTTATTACGTAGCACAAGCACACTCAACTCTTATGCATCGCCCAATATTAACAACGATGACTATGATAACTCATCACTTTTGTTACTACCCTCTTTGATGAGGCCTTTAGTATAAACCCAATTGTAAAGCTAAAGAAAATGAATTTGTCGAAAAGAGCTTGTTTGCAGAACTACACGTTTGGATTTTCATGAACATAGTTTAACACACTCGCATGCTTCTTGATAAGACGAATGCTGCACGATTCTAACCCTGAGAAATATGTGTATATTCATGAATGTACTTCATGTGAAATTGTTTTATAGATATACCAAAATTCTATTTACTCATCTACCATCAGGAAAATCAATACAACAGACTCACTGCTAGCGTAAAACTTCACACAGTTGTAAAAAGTGAATGTTTCGTTTTTTTGTTAGAAGCGCATTAACATTTCTGAGTAATTTATCTATTCTCTTATTTTCCTCTCTTTTAGTTTCCTCAACTTTTCGAAAGTCGATGAGTTCGGGTGATTTTCATGAACTGACTGGATTTTTCAATCCTACAGCTCATGGACTTAGAAGTGACTTTCGTTTAACCAAATTCTCATTTCTGAGAGGATGAGGTTGTAAAGTGCCTCAAGCGGAATTGAAAAAAATGCTTGAGGCACTGAATCAACCTGAGTCCTGTTCAACTACAGGACAAAAACCGCTACTGGGTAAGGCTTTTTTTACTAAGCAATCATATCGTTATCGTTATAAATTCACTAGCATTAGAATTGGATTGTTGTGTGATTCCCCTTCGAAATAACCTGAAACTTATTCAAACAACTGACTTCTTTTATCCTCTGATTGATGATCCTTACACAATGGTGAGTAAACAATTTGTTAGATGAATAAATAAACAAACAATTATAAAACAGGGCAGAATTACGTGTTGTAATGTTTTAAGCGATTTGTATGCTATGGGTGTTGTTGATTGTGACAATTTACTCCTACTACTTGGTGTTCCGCGTGAAATGACTCAGGAAGAACGCGAAGTATCCAACTGTTTATTAATGAAAGGATTCAAGGTAAGCAAATATCTTAAGACGCCATCTATCATTTTAAAGGATTGTGCACTAGAAGCTGGGACATATGTTCGTGGTGGACAGACAGTTTTAAGTCCTTGGTTGATGATCGGTGGTGTGGCCACTTCAGTTTGTAATGATCAAGAGTACATCATGTAAGTCATTTGAATTGTTTAGTGCTAAACTGGGATGGTTAATAGATATTATTATTTATTTTAAAAGAGTTAATCAGTTGAAACGTGCAGGTCAACAAACAATATATATTCTCTACGTAGATTCACTTGAAAACTAAGTACGTAGGCTGTGCCAGTAAGAGACTAGTGCCTGAAGGTGCACAAAAACATCTTTTAATATGGTTGTCGAAATGGGGAATTCAGGGAGTCAATAATTCAATTCGTGAGCATCTTGTTCTTACCAATTATCTTGTATTAATAGAAATATCTTTCGAAGTGATATGAGCAATTTTATCAGTAATCCATATTCATTCGGTTTTTCGCCGAAATTGTTTACTTTCAAACTCCTAACTTTGAGCTGTACCTTATATATAAGCGGTCCGAATCACATAGTCTTTTGAACAATATTCCCGTTTCCAAACGATTGTAGTGTCGCTCATGGAAAGACATATAACCGAACAACATAGTTTCCAAATAGATCTTCTTCAGGCTTTACTCTAATTTGCATAGATTTATACATAAAAAATGTTAACCAATGACGATAATTTTGTGAATCAAATAACAATATGAATAACAATGTAGTAAATGTTTTGAACGAAATTAATAACGATGATTATAATGATAACAAAATATTGACAATAAGGTTTATGCAGGTGATAAGAATAACAAAGGTAGTATATGTATATATGTGTATATGTAGACAATTCAATAAATAAATAAATTAGGTCAAATCTTAAAAAGCGAAGTGGACATATAATCAGAGTTTAAATAAGTATCATAAAAGTACGAAGGAGATGGAAGATAAGAGAGGGTGGGAGGGTTTTGAATAGAATTCACCTAGGCAAGCAACGGAGAGACAAAGGTAGAACAAACTTCTTCTGCTGTATGCAAAGGCTAGGATTGTTGTCTCGAATTCCCATAGCTTCGGCTAAGTGTAAAAGACGGGTTCTGATTCCTTTCGAAAGACTCGATGGAATGCGATAGATAACTTTGAAGGCACTATTTTAGTTCACTTGGTGACCACCATCAATCAAATGAGCCAAAATAAAAGTTCTTATAGATTTTAATTGGTCTTTTCCGAACTATGAAGGAAGGATAAACTGCATAACGGCGAAGAGATTTTCAGTAAATTTTATGATAAAGTTTATCCAAATTCCCGATCACTGAAACGTTATGCGCTTAACCCAATTGGACTCTTTAAAAAGGTACATTTCGAATATAGAAAGAAATTTGCAGTCGATGAACTTCCTCAGGATTTATTATTTAATTTCTTTGAGTATGTCGACTGAGTTAGCCAAAACAGAGCAGAGAAAAGGAGAACGAAACTTATCAAATCATTAGACAGTCAAAATCCTGAAAAAGATTTCCCTTCAAAGCCTTTTCGGTATGTTCACAATTTTTCAAGTGTAACACTAGATAAATTATAGTTAGCAGCTCTGTCATTGGGTCCTAGATTTTGTGACCAAGGATATAAGGTCAACCAACTCGATACCAACATCCCGTTTGAAAGCCTCCTCCTACAAACAAAAGATCTGACCCCAACGTCAGACGATGAAGTCGCTAGGTTTAAAACTACACTAGTCGACAGTTGTCAACAGTATAAAAACAGTAGTCATTCTAGTAAGAGCTTGCTGACTAAACAGCATCGAGAAGCCCTAAGAAAGTTAAGGAACGACGAAAACATTATAATCAGTAGACCTGATAAAGGAGCTGGAGTGGTACTGATGAATAAGTGTGATTATGTTGACAAAATGAAATCGCTTCTAACAGATGAAACGAAGTTCCAAAAGCTTATCAACTCAATAGATCTGAACGGAAAGGCTGAAAAGCAGTTAACTAACCCGCTTAAGGAACTGAGAAAAAGTGGAGTAATCTCAGAGGCAGTCTATAACCGTCTTAAACCTACTGGAAGTAATACTCCACGTTTGTAAGGTCTGCCCAAAGTACATAAATCAGGACTTCCTCTTCGCCCAGTCCTAGATGTCTAATTCCACCTGCCATGGAGTGGCGAAGTGGCTAAATGAACTCCTCCAACCGTTAAACAAGAAGGCAGTAAATCAAAGTGTTAAAGACGTTTTTGAATTTATTGCTAACGTGGATGATATCAATTTAAATGAGAAGCAAATGCTTTCCTTAAATGTAGCATCACTGTTTACCAATGTACCACTTATGGAGACTGCGGAATTCACATGCCAACAGATACTAGAAAAACAGATCGACATCAGAATTCCAGTTATTAGTCTGAAAGAGTTGCTTTTAAGATGTACTATGAATGTACATTTCATATTTAACAACCTTTACTACAGGCAAATCGACGGTATTGCCATGGGTTCTCCGTTGGGGCCAATTTCGGCAGATTTCTTTCTTGCCAGGATTGAAAATGGTCCATCGAAACAAGTAATTGAGAAAACCGATTCTTATTTTCGTTATGTTGATGATACGTTTATTATTCTTGATGTGAAAGCTGACAAGAATGAAATGTTAAAAAAGTTTAATGATACACATCCATCACTCATTTTCACTTGTGAAGCAGAACATGATTGTAGACTACATTTCCTTGACGTCCAATTGAGCAGAAGAGAGGATGGTTCACTCAAAAGGGATGTCTATAGAAAACATACATCTGTAGGACAATGTACACATTTCCTCAGTTTTGTACCAATCCGATACAAAATCAATTTGGTCAGATGCCTCACGAATAGAGCAAGACGTATCTGTACAGATGACTCCCTGGCAAATGAGCTAGAATACATCCAAAATACGTTGGTATATATGGGTTATCCTAGTAGATTTGTAAGGAGACACATGAATACCAGGTACAATAAAGAAAAACTGACAACAGTTAAAAAGAAACAACTGTTCGTGAAACCGCAATTTAATGGGGACGTGGGTAGTGAATTCTTACATCTGAGATTATCGGGAGCGATAAAACGGACTTATACTTCCGCCACACTCTGTTTGTCATTTTGCAGCCGACCAATTATGATTGCTCACTCAAGTGAAAGATAAGCTACCTAGCTGTGCCACTTCGATGTGTATCTATAAATTTAGTTGACTTTGTGGAGAAAGCTATATAGGGCGAACAACTAGATAGCTTAACAAACGCGTTAATGAGCACCTTCCTTCATAGTTCGGAAAAGACCAATTAAAATCTATAAGAACTTTTATTTTGGCTCATTTGATTGATGGTGGTCACCAAGTGAACTAAAATAGTGCCTTCAAAGTTATCTATCGCATTCCATCGAGTCTTTCGAAAGGAATCAGAACCCGTCTTTTACACTTAGCCGAAGCTATGGGAATTCGAGACAACAATCCTAGCCTTTGCATACAGCAGAAGAAGTTTGTTCTACCTTTGTCTCTCCGTGTCTTGCCTAGGTGAATTCTATTCAAAACCCTCCCACCCTCTCTTATCTTCCATCTCCTTCGTACTTTTATGATACTTATTTAAACTCTGATTATATGTCCACTTCGCTTTTTAAGATTTGACCTAATTTATTTATTTATTGAATTGTCTACATATACACATATATACATATACTACCTTTGTTATTCTTATCACCTGCATAAACCTTATTGTCAATATTTTGTTATCATTATAATCATCGTTATTAATTTCGTTCAAAACATTTACTACATTGTTATTCATATTGTTATTTGATTCACAAAATTATCGTCATTGGTTAACATTTTTTATGTATAAATCTATGCAAATTAGAGTAAAGCCTGAAGAAGATCTCAATTAACGCAAGAATAATGTTCTCATGCCTTTCTTGTTCTTTTGTTGCTGTAATCATGTCTGAGCAGTTACTATAGTTGTTATTCCTTTGAGTTTTGAGTTTAGTTCACGGCTTCATGAGCACGTGTCTATTTCATCCCGTTTTCTGCAGTCCTCCTAAGTTGGCTGCACAGTCGTCCATAAAGCTTCATCTCCTCATCCGATCTCCTCCAGCTTGTCACCCTCGGCCTCAGTTCAAAATCGTGTGCATGTGTGTATGCATGCCTGTCGGGTGATACCACCCAACGGTCACCTCAGATTGTGCTAGATTCAGCTTCATTTTAGTCGAAGTGTCTTGTTTCGTGTTGCTTATTCTTTCTGGCTGGCCATCTCTTCGTCAGTATGGAGCCAGCCAGCTTTTGCTGAGAGTATTCAGCCTGTTGGAAATGCTTTTTGTGATGTGACAGCTAACTTTTTGACCCTAATAGAACTGACTTCACATTGACATTAGAAATCTGAAATTCGTTCTTGCTGCCTCGGAGTGCAGAGAATTTCAAAACAGATTTTATCCGAGTGATTGGGGTCTGTCTTGACTTTCTGGCTTATTTCGACGTCGTCATCCATACCGACTGCATGTAGTTGTAAGGAAGCTGTCAAAATATATGACACACCGAGAGGGTTATATTTTGAATAAATTCTGCTGGGTAGTTGTTCAATTGTAAATGTTTGATTTGATAATTTAAATCTTCTGAATTACTAGTTAGGTTCTTGGCACGACTATCTTTCTTACTTCTTTTTCCCTTCACGTTCTCAGTGAAACATAAGGGTTCAAGCTAGTGGCTTGAAGTTTCTGTAGCAGTGTTTATTTTTACAGGATGGGGTTGCTAGTCTCATGCCCAACCTTTCCTCTTTGCCAGCTTTTATTCCCGGCTTAGCGAGGTAAAGGAGTGCACCGGTGGCCGGAGATCAAACCCCGGACCATGTTGTGCATGGTCGGCAAGCGTCCTAAGGGATGTGCCACTAACGCACACGACCCGACTATACAGACATTCAACTGAACCTATCTCTATCCATTCTGGATGGGATAAATTGAAGTCTAAGTATTTATTAAAGTGTGTCGTTTTCCTATAAGTGCTAGTATCCAACCACCCACCATCATGTTTTCGTTTAATTCTACAGTCTAGTCTAGCATGGCCAACTCACCCTGTTTGTTTTTTAACTCAGAAGTGAATTGAATTCCGTCTACTGTTGAGCTTGTATGTGTGTGAAAAAAATGAGAGATATGTTGAGATTTGAACACAGTGAATGTGTCACCCACATATCTCCAGCATAACCTATCTACCTAGGAGCAGGACTACACGTTCCAAGAGCCTTGCTTCATGTTCTTAACTATCTATAAATGTCTGCTACTGTTGGGGATATGGGTGATCCCATTGCCACCACATTCGTTCGTTCATACAGTTTATTTTGAAATTTGAATTATATTGGGGGTTAGACATAACTGAACACGTAATACCTATCTCATCTACTTGCACTGTTAAAGAGTAAAACTCCATTGTGAATGAAATTTATTTTGATAAATTCTCATAGTGTTATGCAGTAATATTAACTGATGACCACGTTTCGAGAACAATTTATTGCCACTCATAATCATATCAAGGCATTACTCACAATACTTTCTTGCGTCGTGTATATACATGTGTGGATATTGATTAGCCGTATGAAGGAAATCGATAAAAGTTCCATAGGCATGCGTGAAACCGAACACAATTAGTGTTATCAATTATTATTATTATTCTCTTGGGGTTACGAGTGGAACATAAGGCTTCAACAACACATCTCCACTTTCTCCTATTTTCTGCCATCCTCGTCAGCTCCATCCATGATTATGCATAATCTCTCACCTCTTCCTCACACGATTTCATCTATTTCACTGTCACACTGACGACCAACTCGTCGCTTCCCATTTGCATTCCACTCGAGGGCTGGCTTGGCGCGGTAGATTAACCAACAACACTCGTCTTTATTCTCATTGTATTATATTTATTGATAACACTCATAGTGCTTGCAAACGTACTTCGTCTCTCTTTCTGTTTCACGCATGTCTGTTAAACTTTTATTGATTTCCTTCAATACGGCTAATCAATATCCACTTATGTGTATAAACGAAGCAAGAAAGTAGTGTCAGTAATGCCTTGATATGATTATGAATGGCAATAAATTGTTCTCGAAACGTGGTCATCAGTAAATATTACTGTATAATACACTTCAAGAATTTATTCAGATAAATTTTATCCATAATCGAGGTAACACAACTATCCTTCATCACACGGTACTACTTCATGAACTGACTATCCTTTCTGCTTTCCCCACATAGTTGCTGCACTACCAAACAGCGAACAGTTTGGAAGCCTCTACGATAATATTCATAGCTCATGTCGAACCCATTGAAGCTGGTGTTTTCAAAGTGACAACAACACTCAGTGACTCGTGATCTCCACTGTGTTGAAACACATGATGATGCGAGGGGATGCAAACCTTAATGCGGAGGCAGTATCCGGTGAACACTCAGAGTCTCTGCATATTCTCAGCCCGGAGAGGCTAGATTTTTTTAAAGGCTTAAGGGAAAAATGTACGCCCTGAAGCATTGTAGGTCTGATATTTGATAGATAGAGTGACGACGTGACAGGATCAGAGGTGATCATCGAGGCTGTCATAAACCTCCTGGATTTTAGTAGTATACGGCTAGAGGTTTCACACGTCACACACACACACAGTAGCCGAGATACACGAACTTCTAACGGTCCTCCTGGAGGGAGGAATGCAGGTACAGGTTTCTGTCATTCTTGTGACAGTAGTTTGCACTTGGACAGCGCGCAAGGCGGATACTATACTATACAGCAGACACTGATGGCTAACTGATTGAACGTGTGATTCGGTGGGCTGTTTGTATGTTATTGCACTAGATATGCACTAGATAGATAGATGATATCGCCTACACTGCAAAAGAAGAAGAAGTGATCAGTTCTACAGCAAACATCATTCATCAGTACACAGAGAGTGGTATCATTCATTCTTTGACTAACCGACAAATCACACTTAGAGAGCCTTGCACAATTCAAAGTCTTCATATCTGATGAGAAAAAAGTAACACACTTGGGATTTCAAGTGTTTGTGTATTGATTGTGTTAGAATTACACAATTGTTTAATTACAGTAATGTAATTAGGTAGAATACCTTAATATCTTTACCGCCAAATAGATAGTGTAGCTATGGGCAGTCCACTTAGCCCTGTTTTAGCAGGTAAATTCATGTCCAACCTTGAAAAAACGAAGTTGAAGCATGCTATCGACGAAGCAAACTTCTTACTGTCGAGATGTTGATGACACATTTTTAGTGTGCAACAATGAAGTCATCCTTCACACTTACTCAGATTATTCAATGATGCACACACCAATATTGAGTTTACTATGAAACCTGAAAGTGACGGGAGATTCCACTTCCTTGTCTCTACCATGGAACGCCTAGAAGACGGTAGTCTCCAGAAGTCAGTTTATCGAAAGCCTACATGAAAAGGACAATACTCACAATTTAATCGTTTTTGTCCAAATAGCTTTAAACGCGGACTAGTCAAAACTCTGTACTGTAGAGCGAGGAGACGGTCCTCGGGACGGTAAAAATCTATGGTTGGAAACAATTGGTGACATGGCTCAAAATCGTTCTCAGTGGCGCAGATGCATCCACTCCTTGTGACTTATGATCTCCAATGAAACTGTTTTGTTTTTCTTTATTACTCCTTTGTCTCACACCTCTGCTCACTGTTTCTATTATGCTTTTCTTGTACTTTCTTCTCTTGCTTCGCGTGCTACACGGAGTGTGGCGACTTGAACTTCCGCACATTTGTGCAGAGTTCTATGTCGAAAACAGACAGACATCGTTCCTTCACTCCCCGTTGTTATGAACTGTGTGAACTTGATTAGTGTTGGTGAATATACGTCTAAGGGGGTACATAGATAACTATGTTGTGTTATGTGCGCTAGCTCCGCTTTAATGTCCAAGCAATAAGGTTAAGGTATTCTACCTCATTTTGATAATGAAACTGTTGAAATTTTAAATAGAGGAAACGTCAAAAACACTGTCAGGGAATTTCTCGGAGCTTGGTACTCGAACGAATACCGATGGCCAAACAAACACACTACTATAGAGCAAATTTACAACCAACTAACAAGACAACAAAAGTTGAAATTCCAAGTTAATAATGAAAATGACCTGGTAGAGACCTAAATGAACAACCAGTAACGATAATGTTTGTCAGCAGAGATATAATTATATCACCATCATTCATGGAGAATTCAAATATATTCATTTCATATTAAAAATGTGTACTGAACAAGTCGTCTAGAAGGACAACGGTAGCCTCGCCGTTATATCGCCGCCTAGCTTATAGAAAACACTACTAAATCAGAAATAGAAGCAAGTGCAGTAGTGAATAATGCATTTTCGGTTCCAGGGGAACAGCTTTCGCAACTATTTTACTGCGTTTCTTTTGCTTCTTCAACCAACCTAACTTGGACATTTCGCATGCAAGTATTCTTTTCCTTGTTTAAACCTCTTTCAAAATTGTTTTTATTTAATGCATATATCCATCATACACAGGCCTAATCAAGCTCGCGTCGGTGATGTTTTAGTACTCACTAAACCTTTGGGTACTCAAGTCGCCGTCTCGGTTTACTACTGGATGTTAGAAGAAAGTCCATCGTGGTCTGAAAATCTATGCAATGTTATCAGTGCGGATAAAGTCAAGAGTCTGTTTCATGCTGCCACAATGTCTATGTGTCATTTGAATCGTACAGGTTGGTTTTGTTTTTCGTCTTGTTTAATTATGTGGAAAACTATCTTTTATAGTCATCATTCTGTGTGATTGAATATATATCGCTTTAGCTCGAAACACATTTGTCGTGCTAATTAAATAAAAGCACTTATCATAACAATAATTCAAGTGTTGGTTTGCAGGGATTTCTGATTGGTTACAGGAGTTCATCATGAGAGAGAAGAAGCATTGGAAAGCCTGAGTCACAATGACATTGGCTAGTGGTTGCGCTATTTCGTGAATTCGAAGAAGCTCAGATTGATGGGCGATTGGGTCGGCGGGTGCCAGTGGTTGAATGGTCTACGAGCTCACCTTGTGGGTTCAAGCCCTGACGCCGGGTGCGTGCTAATGACGAGTCCCAAACTAGGACGATTTGTTGAAAGGCTAATGAGTAAAGTAAGTCTTAAAACACTGTGCTGATAAACCGTTCACAATGCCAATTAAGACAAGTTTTACATTCATCAGGATATGGGAGTTTTAGAAAGGAAATTTTAAAATAAGCAGACCATTCTGATTACCATAGTAACTGCTGGTGTAATTCAAACAAAGTAATAATTTACTTTGTTTATGTCTCTTTGCCAGTTTGAGGCAGATATATGAGCGTAAAACCTCGGGTAGGTGCATCGGTAGTGGTTCGATTGTAGAGCAGAATGCTGTCCAAACACGCCTGACGTGGTCCGAGCATCAATGTGGGACTGACTCACTGCCGAACGTCGCTTAGTAGTTGCGCTCAGATGTCAAGCCCTATATGTTGCGATTGGAACGCTTCATTTTGAATAAGTTTGTTTGTTGAGTGCAGCAATAAATCAATCAATAAACCAACCACTATACAGTCTTAATATGCTAATTCTTACTGTTCATGTTCCCTTGGTTGTTTCCTAGTGAAGCATAGGGCTTCAATAGCACATCTTCACTTTGTCCTATCCTTGACAATCCTTTTCAGCTGACCTTACGATTGACCACCATAAGCTTTCATCTTTGCACGTGATCTATTCGATGTCAGCCTCGGATTCACGTCTAACTCTCACCGTTTCCCACTTGGGGGTTCCAGTGGGACGTGATGAGTCACCCAACTATCTCCTCAGTGTGTATCCGATCCGTCTTCATTTTCTTCAGCATTCTTGCTAAGGATTAAGTTCTTGATTGGTTCATTGTTGGGGGTCATTTGGTCTTTAGTATGGAACCAGCCGCGTCGGTGGCACAGCGGTTAGGACTCTTGCCAACCATGCACATGGTCCGGGGTTCGATCCCCCCGACGCATTCCTTTACCTCGCTAAGCCAGAAATAATGCTGGTAAAGAGGAAAAATTGGGCATGAGGCTAGCAACCCCATCCTGTAACAATAAACACTGCTACAGAAACTTCAAGCCGCTAACTTGAAGCCCTATGTTCCACTGGGAACGTGAAGGAAAAAAAATGGAACCAGCCAGTGAAGTGAGCAAGCTTATGATAAAAGTCTGCATTAACTAACCTTTTGGAAACCCTTTTCATGACGAGCGCGCCCAGGTATCTGAGTCATGTAGAAGAACTAAGTGACTTAACCTTAGTGTGTGTGTGTGGAGTGACCTGTGTGTGTTTCAAATTACTTTAGTTGATAGTGATTGGTGTTAGTTGTTGTTGTTGTTGGTTGGTTATCTTCATCGCTTGCATCTTCTGTATGTTCACTTGAAGCCTTCTTTGTTTGTTTGCTAAGTACACCAGTATCAGTAAATCCATCACCATTCGAAGTGCTTTTATTCTTTCATCATTTTCTGCTATGGAGGTTATAATTAATTTCGAATAATAATAATAATAAGCTTTATTCTAAAACTACTTTTGATACAGAATGGAATTCTCAGCATTTCACTACAGTATTACATCCAGTTTGTATATTAACAATACATAGATTAAGGGTAATCACTGTTAGTTTTTTGACAACAACACATTGGCATATCGAAAGCAAAGCCAAAAGTGAACAGAATGTTTGAAGGTGTTAGAAAAGTAGATACTACTAGCATATTTACTGGCGTAAGCGGTAACAAAATGGTCGAGATATACATAGTGTGAAAGAGCGAAGAAGAATGTTTTAAGTAGAGTTTATAAGGAATAAAGAAAAGAAACAAAGCAGCACACAACAGAAAAAAAGAGAAAAGGAGAAGAAAGAAAGAAAACGTTGTGCCTATAAATGATATGAGTTGGAAAGATGAGATCCAGTTGTTCTACTGACTGTTTAATAATTTATAGGTTTCACGCCTAATGCTTTCTTTATCGCACAGAACACGAGCTAAGTAGGGTGTGGTTGAGTTGGGGTTTTGTACTTGCTAGTGCGAGCATCTATTTTTCTATATAGGCTTCTGGTTCTGACTGATGAGATACAAGGGAGAGTTGTGAATGAAGAGGGTGTGACTTAGATAAAATGGATTGATTTAGCTCATTTTTCACATGAGTCCATGTGCCTGTCAACCATAATATTAACAAGCTGGTTAAGTGACACACTGCTTACCCTGCTAACAACCTTTAACTTCCTGCGGAATAATGTATAGTCTCTCTTCAGTAGCCCAGGAAAACCTAAGGAGGAACAATAGAAAATAATAGGCAGGATGCAAGAGTTAACAAATTGTAGGAGTAAGGGTTGGGTGGGTTATTCCGGAATGTGTTAACTTCTTGATGTAGAAGGTAAAACGGAATATTTTCTTAGAAATCATCAAGACATGAGACGACGAGGAAAGATCGGCAGATAGAATGACGCCTAGGCATTTAATTTCCGGCTTGGTCTCTATTTCAGTGCCATCTATGTTGCACACTTCGTGAGTGCTGGCCAGTTTGTTTAAGCCACATTTATGCCTAAAGGTGAAATTGACTGTTTTACATTTAGAGGGATTTAAGGTTAGACCGTTGTCCTTGGACCACTGGCTGATTTCTGATAAAAAAGACCATTTATTTTAGAGCAGTCAATTTGACATTTGACAGGCAAAGTTACTGTTAGGTCGTCAGCATATTTAACAAAATTAATATCATTAATGTCTATATGCAATTTGTTTGGGGTCTTCAAAACTTTTAAGGGAGGGTTCAAGTTTAAGAAGTACTAGTTTTTCCGTCAGCTTTAGAAATGGGGAAGTAATGGCAATGGGTCTGAATTTTACTTTCTTGCTAGTTCCAGGTTTAGGGACACAGACTATTATTAGAAAGGTTAAAACAATTGCTAAGATGAACACGTTTCATGCAGTAAGTCATAATTCTTATTTTTGTATATAATGTATGTATGTATGCATACAATGTGAATGTAAATGTGATAACGTGTTTATATGTGTCAACTGCGTTCGTATAGGTGCTCGACTGATGCATAAATACCATGCTCATGGTTGTACTGATGTGACTGGTTTTGGTCTTCTTGGTCATGCAAACAATTTGGTAAAAGTTCAAGAAAGCAATCAACTAGCCTTCAGAATCCACACCTTGCCATGTCTGGATGGTGGTGCATTGATCTCAAAGGCACTGAACGATCGTCTAAAGTTGCTTCAAGGATTATCACCAGAAACATCAGGTAAATGTTGTTTGTGAGAAAACTTATGAAGAAGAAGTTCAGCAGAGATATGCGTATTTATCAGCGATTTCATTGGCAAAAGCGACTGTACTATCGTATTCATATACATAGAGACCGTTATTATTATACTTTTTATTATTTTTATTATTATTATTATTATTATTATTATTATAGGTTACCAGACTGTAGGTGTTACGAACTTCGTCGAATAGTATGAGCCCCGACTCAGATTGATTAATTAAAATTATTTAACTTAATCCCAGCGTGTTAAGTAAATCAAAACAAGATTTTGCTGAACGTTTCGCTTTGTAAGCCACAGCTTCTTCAGCAGATTTATTCGGATTTTTACTAATCATCAAAATATATAGTCAAAATATATTTACATAAATTGAAGTCAGTTTATTTAAAGATCATTTGTCCATGGACATTTTTTACCAATAGAAGTATGTAAGTAATCATCACATACATTTGTAATGACTAATGTCAAATTGTTGTTGTGTTCACTCTTCTATAGTTGATTTGTAAAGATCAGATTTTGTGCGTGCGTGAGTGCGTATGTTATTTGTCATATGGAAAATACGTGCATTCATATGTGATAAACATGATACTACATTATAATGAAGGTTTTGTACTGACGTTTCGCTATTTAATGCTAATAGCTTTCTATGGTTTGGTTTGTAAGGATTAGTTATGTTTTACGAGTTGATCACGGATTGATATCAGTTAGAGAACCATTGAAAACCAGGGAGTACTGCACAGCTGCTGTTTCATCCTAGTTTGGGAATCATCGGAAGTACGCACCCACTGGGATTCGAACTCAGGACCTTCCGGTTACAAGGCCAGCTAGCTCGTATACCATTCAGCCACTGGGACCCGATTCAACGGTCAACCCATGAATTTTAACTCCTACCAATTTGTGATTTAGCGCGACCCCAACCATTGTCGTTGGTGGGACATCCATCCACACACGTGACATCTAATTGGACCTCACTGGTCATGACTTCTCACTAGAACTCAGGAAACTCCAACCTGTAGCAAGTCACTAGCGAGCACCAGATTAACTTTCTATGGTTTGGTTTGTAAGGATTAGTTATGTTTTACGAGTTGATCACGCATAGCTTTCTCAAAGTATTATTAAACCGGAATTTACAAAATCCACTCAGCATATATCTATAACAAAGAGTTAAGAGGTGAGAAAATAGACTACTTAGGTCAAGTTAAAAGAAGGACATATTGAAAGTTAAAATAACAATGAAGATCACTAAACCAAATATCAAAGGTAGTTACGTCTGTAGTCAGGTACGTCTGTTATGATATCAAAATAAAGTTTACTAACTTGATCATCGTTCGTCTGTCTGGGGTTGCTTTTTTGTTGTCAAGTTGGTCAGTTGGTAAAGATAACAAAATCAAGTGTAGATTGTTGGATTTGATCAGTGTGTAAAATTATGAAAGTAGTATGTGTTTACATAGTGAACTTGCTTATCACTTTTGTGTTGATTTTGCCACTTCATGGGGGAGAGAGGTGTTGTAGCCAGGTCAGATTCTGTTTTAGTCCATCATTCCTATTCAGGCAATTTGGATTCCACTTGATATGAAGTGCTTCTGATATTAGATGTTCTTTGTGATTTCTGAAGTCTTTCTGGATTATTTGAATATTGTCAAAATCAATTTTGCGGCCTGATTCTATAGCATGTAGACCTATGGCTGATGATTTTTCAAGTTTTTCTAGTTCAATTGGATTTCTTGGTGGTCGAAGAGATGCTCTACGGTTGTCATTTCTTCTGATTTTGATTTCTCGCTAGTGATGTTTGTCCGATGTAGATCGCATCACATTCCAAGCATTTTATTTTATAGACACAGGTAGATAGAGAATCTTTTGGAATTTGGTCTTTTTATATGGACAAGGTTGCTTTGCGGTGTGCCTGATGTTCTGAAGAAAACTCTAATGGCGAGCTTGTTGAGTACTCTTCTGATGTCGTCTGACGTCTCTGCTTTATATGGAACGACAACTGTTGATGTCCATGTTTTTGGAATGCGTTTCCGGCCATACTTAATGTCTGTGTTGATTTTATGGATGAAGTTCCTTGGGGAGTTGTTTTGTTTGAGAGTTTCAGTAATGTTTGATATTTCTTCTTCTTTTTCTTGCTCATCCGTTATCAGAGAGTGTGCTCATCTGAGAAGACTTGAAACAACTGATAGCTTTGCACTGATGGGGTGTGGTGATTTGAAGTCTAAATATTTGTTGGAGTGGGTTTTCTTCCTGAATATGGATATACTAAAATGTCCGTTTTCCTTTCTCTTAACTAGGGAGTCTAGAAATGGTAGTTCATCGACGTCTGATTCTGCCTGATTCCGAAGTGAACTGGATTTTTGCAGATACACAGTTAATTTTCTCCACGAATGAATTGTGTAGATCTCGTTTTAGTACTACAAAAGTATCATCCACATATTTTAAGCATATTTCAGGAGTGAGTATGCTTGAAAAGATATTATTTTCGAATCTATTCATGTAAAGGTCGGTGACTATTGGGGAGACTGGTGAACCCATAGCAACACCATTTGTCTGTCTAAATAAACTCCCTTTAAACGTAAAATAATTATTTTCTAGACAGAATTTTAAGCTCTTAATTATTTCACTGGTGTCCAGTGGACATCTTTGTGATAGTGTTGTATCTGATTCTAGTAGACTGGAAATGATATCGAGACTTCCTGTAATAGGGACAATAGTATATAACGAGTTAATATCACAGCTTACCATATTGTCTTCTTTGTCAATTTCGCGGTGTTCTATTTGGGATTTGAAATCATATGAATTTCTTACAATATTTTCAGTGCCCTTTTGTAGTATCGAGAGTAAGTATTTAGAAAGGTTGTATGTCGGTGAGATCTATTACTGGTCTTAATGGAACTGTGGGTTTATGTATCTTTGGTTGGCCGTAGAACCTTGAAGATACATACGATTTTGGCTTTAGTTTATACCAGAGAGAATTTCCAATTTTGGGTTTCATTTCTCGAAGGAGTCTGTTTGTATTTAGTTTCATTTAGTTGAATTCGGCGGATTTCTTCTTTTCTTCAATGACTAAGTATGGCCCTTCAGATAGGTGTTCAATCGCCTTCTTTTCATAATCCGTTCTGTTCATTATCACAGTGACGTTTCCCTTGTCGGCTTTCGTTATGACGATGCTTTTGTCTTTCTTCAAATTTCTCAAGGCTTCATATTCTCGTTTGGTGAAATTAGATGGTATGTTTCGTTGTGTCATTAATATGTGTAATATCTATTGACGAACAGATTGTGATTCTTCATTGGTGAATTGTTGTAAAGCAGGTTCGATCATAGGTGCTATTTCCTGGACCGATAATGGCTTTCTAGTTATATTGAAATTCAAACCTTTCTGTAGTAATGAGATTTCATTTTCGGTTAGTATCTTGTCTGACATGTTATGTATGGCTCTAATATTCTTCATATCATTTGTTGAGGTTTTCTTTGGTTGTTTCTTTTCTTCGAGTTTCAAGAATTTTTGTGTATTTCTTCTTTTAGTGGCATTATGAAAATGAAGATACTCGTTCATTGAACAATTTTTGAAAGGATTCATGGATATGACTTGTAACAAGTGATGTTAAACGGTCGTCTATATTTTTGTTTCTCATTCGATAAGATACAAGTTTGATGTATTATTCACAAGTCACTACGTGTTGAACCTCTTGAATATACACAGAAATCTATACTTGCTGCAAATCATACCTGCAAAGTATTTTTACGAGAACGAATACATAAATGCAACATCAAACTTGAATCTTTTTCAGGAGACTAGAAATTCTCCTCTTCATGATAACTGCCGCTGAGTTTCGCCTGAAGAGTAGTAGTTGTCCATGCTCATATCATATTCTTTGTCTTCCCTTTTTTTTGCTGTATGGATATAATATATCGGTTCGTTCGATTTTGATGTCTGTATAAAATCGCAATATACAATTTTCCACAATTTCTGAGTCATTTCAGTTGAACTAAAGACGAATGTTTTTTCTCTTCCAAATCTAGGCGGTCTGCTAATCATTCTCCCGCGTGAATCTGCTCAGTCTTTCTGTGAAGAGTTAACTGCTGAAACTGGTTGTCCATCATGGATAATCGGAGATGTAATAGAGGCCAGTAGAAAAGAAGCCAGTCTAACTGACAATCCAAAAGTTATTGATATTCCTCATTCACAAATCGCTCCACCTAAACAGCCTATAACTAATGACCAGTAGCATTCCATCTACCTTTTCCTATGAAGCAGATGAATCACTCAATAAATCGACTGTAATGACGCTGGTGATTGAAAATGTTACATGATCACACAGCTGATGAATAATGATAATGTCGTTGAGTTGAGCCTGTATTGATCTGTTTCTCAATATATTACTATATGTATCTAACTCTAAATACCATAGGAAACGTTGTATGTCTTTTTTTCCGTGTAAGTCTTAACAAAAAGCATATCGAAATTTGTTATTTTTAATAAAAGTCATTAAAGCGAAATACATTTGGTTTCAGTTTTGTTTTTAAAATGAAAAAAGTGTTGTTTGTGTGTGCATATTGACAATTGTGTTGATATATAAAAGACGTAAATAATTGTCAATATTACTTTTCCCGTGTGAGGTTCCTCGTGTAACATAGACCTTGAACAGCACATCTTGACTTTGTCGTATTCTCTGCGGTCCTCATAAGCTGGCCGCACGATTGCCCATATTCCCACTCGCACTCCATATCTTCCATTTCTCATTCGAGATCCACTGAAGCGATATCATTTAACGGTCTCCTCAGTGTCTTTCTCATCGATCTCCACTTTCTTCTGGATATTTGTTGAGTAGTAGGTTCGTGGTTGGTTCATTCCCTGGGTTTCTTGTAGCTAATTCTTACTGATGTGTGTCGATGGCACAGCGGTTAGGACACTCGACGACCATGTACATGGTCCGGGGTTCGATCCCCGGTCACCGACGCACTCCTTTACCTCGCTAAACCAGTAATAAAAGATGCTGGTAAAGAGGAAGGGTTGGGAATGAGGCTGCCAATCCCATCTTGTAGAAATTACCGCAAAGAAACATCTGATGAAATAAAGCGAATCCTCAAAGATCATAACATAAGAGTGTATTCTCGTGCAACTAACACTTTACGCTCATTACTGGTGAAGGTTAAGGATAAAATAGAACAGGAAAACCAGCAGAATTGCGTATACCAGATCAATTGTGGGGATTGTAACGCCGTATATGTAGGAGAAACTTTCAGACAGGTAAATATAAGAGTGAAAAAGCATAAACAATGTCTAAAGGTGGTTCCAAAGACCTCTACAGACTTGAAGAAGCTAGAAAACAACTCAGCGATAGCACTGCATTCGATAGAAACGGGACACAAAATCGACTTTGACAAGACTTAGGTTCTACAGAAAGGTTTTGGTTCATATAAGGAAAGATTGACTGCAGAAGCCCTTCATATATGGGTGAATCCCAACAGTTTGAATAGACGTGAAGATGTGATGTTAGCTGATGCATGGCGAATCCTGACTAATAAATAAAATTGGATACGTATCAACAAAAAAAATCAACAATTAGTCCTACTTGGTCAAAATTCTCGATTGTCTACGTCTTCTTATGTAGACACTAACAAATTTTTTATGACTGTTCACCCACACACATACACCACTGTATACTGCATATACACATTTATTTTAACAAAAGTAGACTAATTTTGAAAGTCTGAGGTCAAATTTTGATCACAGTTCATACAATTTTCGTTTTTTGATAGCTGTTTCATCATTCATATGACAGGACAAACAATTTGAAAACAAGAGATGTCCTTTCATATATAAACATACAATTTTGTTTATTATTCATGTTGATGCCTGTTTCATGGCCCATGATTGGACAAAATTTCAAAACAAGAGATGTTCCTATTATATTGTTATGTACTCGTCGCTAAATTATTGTTATGGACTGGTCGAGAATTTAATAGTCCTGACGCAAGAAGGCGGATATCAGAAGACCACTAGGTTTGCGATGATACTTCTATTGTCCAAACACAAGGAGACGAAAAATAAATGGTCTCACACCAAAGTGGTAAGTAAGTAAAGTAAAGTATTTAAGTAGTTCACACAAATTGTGTATGCAAATATATATGACAAGGGTGTGAATAATCATTAGACAGTCTTAACATGAATGGCTAATTATAATGAAGTATCGATCCATATATACATAGCGAAATATAACAGACATGTCAACAACCACACATAATATGGATATATGTCACCAAGCAACGGACTGTCAACATACTCTCATATTATATATGATATAATATAAGGAGAATATACATTGTTAAAGGAGACAGGTTCATACAAGTGAAATGGTCAAAGGCTAAGCGAGCAAATAGAAAGAGAGATCAACATACACACACACACATAGGGTCAGGCTGGAAAAAAGCTAGCGGCAGTCAAACAAAAACTTGGCATCAGTCAATGAAATCCACAACAGTTGGTCTAAGCCACGTAGAAAGGTGTAGACTTCCAGGCTGGGGTCCTCGGGACGGTAAAAATCTATGGTTGGAAACAATTGGTGACATGGCTCAAAATCGTTCTCAGTGGCGCAGATGCATCCACTCCCTGTGACTTATGATCTTCAATGAAACTGTTTTGTATTTCTTTATTACTTCTTTGTCTCACACCTCTGCTCACTGTTTCTATTATGCTTTTCTTGTACTTTCTTCTCTTGCTTCGCGTGCTACACGGAATGTGGCGACTTGAACTTCCGCACATTTGTGCAAAGTTCTATGTCGAAAACAGACAGACACACACACATAAATATATATATGTGGATACATATCATATATATAAACCTCTGTTATGTTAATTTCGATTGACTTCCCCGAAGAAATTCGGACCAGATTGTCGAACGCAACGTTGGAATTAATCTTTTCAATTTCGCTGAGATTTTACAAATATAATTTTATGTCTACTTCTCACTCGGCGCTCAATTATTTTGCAACTATCCGGTCAAATCTTGATCACAATTCATATGAACTGCTACAGAACCTTCAAGCCTCTAGTCTGAAGCTCTATGTTCCACTGGGAACGTGAAGGAATTAAAAAAAATTCCTGCTGACTGGCCATTGGGTCTTCGATATGAAGCCTAATTTACTTATTGGTGGATTTTCTAACCGGAGAAAAGTGGGAAGGTTGGACACAGTGCTAGCTATCCTACACTCGGGAAGTCAGTCCAATCACCTACAGAAACTTCGAACGACGCACAGGAACACCGACATTGACGCATTTTTGTCGGATGACTCTGAAAGACCTCTAGAGGGAATGAATATTCAGTAAAGCGAAGGAAATTTTCGTTTCAGTGAAGTTATCGACTAGGCTATACATTCGTGTATTTATAGTGGATGGGTAAGAAAGCTGTAGAACTATTTCCGATGAAGGGTCAAATTAATAAAACTGCTAATAGCGATTAAAATGTGATGTTAAACAGAAATTCCGAAAAGAAATACAGTAGTTCAAATGGGAACTGGAAAACGTGAAAATACACAGGAAGAATGGACAAGGAAATTATTGGACAGTCACTATTGTGAGAATTTACCTTTCATGATGGCCATGGTAGAAACAATGGTTAGATGTATTTCCTGAAATTTCGGGTCGGGATAGGAACCAGCATTAAACAGAATATATTACCCTTTCTCATGAATCGTATGATTTATCTTGTGATGGAGTTACTATGTTAATGCATCATTTCTCACGCATATTGCGGTTTAGTGTGTGGTCAGTTCATCGTCTTTTGTCTCCCCTTGGTCTTTGTCGGATCGCCAACCAATAAGAACAATCCATTCTCATGGCAGTGAGCTGCCTTTATTGTGGCAAACAAATATACAGTTATGATGCTTTGTTTCCTGATAAATGTACAAAACAATATACTGCAGTTACAGGCCAGCTTTTATCTTTTGATATTTCCGTGGTTCAGTGATTCGGAAGGTACAACGGACAAATGGATGTATTAGCGTACAAGTCGAGTTCATTACCGTTATAATAATTAGCGAACACAGACATTACAGAGTGGCAATGGGTTATTCAATTCAGCGCAGTAATAACAGGTCGCTAGTACGTCAGCTATGTCTTGATCTCACTCCCTTTGAGAAGTCTGATCGCATCTAATTTCGCATATTCCAGTTTACGCCGTCCCTGGCGTAGACGTGATATCCAGTCATAGACCGAAAGGCGAGTATACTGCTCAGCAAATCGCTCCATCCTCCTTTATGGCTGGCTGTGAGACCTGGCCGTTGAGAGTGGAAGACATGAAAAGGCTGGCTGTCTTTGATCATAGGTGCCTGCGTTCTATCTCCCGTGTGTCTTAGGTGGTATAATAAGGTGAGCAATATTGAGGCTAGGCATCGGTCGAGTGCTAGGTAAGGAGAGGAAATCAATCGACGAGGCTATGAAGCTACATCGACTGAGATGGTTAGGACATGTGTTACGTATGCCTAGTCATCGCTTTCCTCGATGGGCAATGTTAGCTGATATAGGACCAGGCTGAAAAAGAGCTAGCGGAGGTCAAACCATAACATGGCACCAGTCAATGAAATCTACGACAGTTAGTCTAAGCTACGTAGGAAGGTGTAGACTCCCTGACTCTTTGGGGTCCTCGGGACGTTAAAAACCTATGGTTGGAAACAATTGGTGATATGGCTCAAAATCATTCTCAATGGCTGGCTGGTGCAGATGCATCCACTCCTTGTGACATATGATTTCCAATGAAACTATATTGTTCTTCGTTATTACTATTTCTTTGTCTCACACCTCTGTTTACTGTTTCTATTATGCATTTCTTCTACTTTTTTCGGTTGCTTTCTGTGCTACAAGGAAGGAGTGTGGCAACTTGAACTGGTGCACATCGGTGTAAAGTTCTTTGTCGAAAACACACAGAATTGTATATAACTTTAAAGAATAGAACTTCCTCACCCAATTACTAAAAATACATGAGTGTGCAGCCTATCTGATGACTTCATCGGAAAAAAATCTTTCTTCTCTGCAACCGTCCTTTTTATATCCTATGATCATATAAGTATATTCCGTGACTCAGAAAAGTGTATTTAACACCTAAACGTTGGCCGACTGAAGATGCGAACTAGAAATACTACATGAAAGTATTGACTGTTATGATTAGATGCATATACTTCACATATACGATTGGAGTCACTTGTCCTTATATAAATATCAAAACAACCC